TTACATGGTGCTTCTGATGTCTGACACAAAACTGAGATTGTGTACTTGGAATCAAATTGTTTTTGGCACAAAAAAATTGAAATTAACAACATGACAATATTCATTCATCAGGTGAAGCAAGAATGATGCCTTGCAAATGACAATTTAATGACTTAGTTTTGATTATAAACCATTCACATTTCTTAGAGTTTACAATTAGTGAAACTGACATGTAAGACACATATGACACATATTCAACAAATGAAATTGAGTAGAATGTTACATATTTAGACCCATTCCCAGATGCAAAAAACAAAACTGAGAGAAAGCTCAAGCAACAAGCATAAACAATGTAGTAAAACTGAGATTGTGTACTTGGAATCAAATTGTTTTTGGCACAAAAAATTGAAATTAACAACATGACAATATTCATTCATCAGGTGAAGCAAGACTGATGCCTTAGATGTGTTACCTCCACATTATAAGCCATTCACATTTTTTAGAGTTTAAAACAATCAATCTAAAATTGATCACATCACATCTTAGCATCAAAATGTTGGCAGCCAGGAAACTGAATATATGCATCTGAAATGATATGTAATATTTAGCCAGGAAATTGAATATATGCTTAGTAATGATGCTATGTAGCCAAGAAACTGATTATTTAGCCAGGAAACTGAATATATAACCCTTTATAAAAGAACAATTACAGAGCATAAACATTCTCTAACTTTCAGACAAATTAAACCATTACATACCATTAACCATCTAAAATATTTCATAAATCTATCAAGCAAAGAGGAGAACCAAGGAGATCAATTTCAAAGAAGAAGAGGTCAGACTATGCAACTAAAATACTAAAATTTTGAGATCGAACTAAATTTCAACCTTCAGTAAGCTTTTAATAAGAGCAGAAAACAACAATCAACAAACTAGTCTCATATGAACATAATCGCTTGTATGGTAAATATTTAGAAATTAATTCGATATTGCAAAATCAACATACCTCTCTGGATTTTTGCCTCCTGTCACTTGAGATCCCAATCGGCTGCAAATTCCTCTCTTGTTTCCCCTAGAATATTCCTATTAATAGCTGGGGACAAGAAGGGGGAAGAAATTTTAGAGGGAAAAAATGGAGGTAAAGAAGTAGAGGGAATTGATTTTGGGGAAGAACTGCCTTGATTCGAATCAAATCGTATACCTGAAAAAGATCGCGGGCTTCCCTAATTTTCGCTGCCGAATTGCGAAATTCCACCGCCTACCTAATTTCCATTGCCAACATCAGATTTCCATCGCCTACCCTTGTGTGAGAAGGAGGGTTAAGCCTTGTTCCGCCTATCTGAGAGGAATTGTTAACCCTTGGAATCACGGGTTAAATGGATTTTTGGGGTCACGTGAGGGTTAACTAACTCTTGGGGGTTTTTTGGTGTTTGGCAGGTTAATGGAGGGTTAAACCCTCTTAACCCTTCATTTATCCCGTTGCCAAACAGTGCCTAAGGGTATAACTAACATTGAAGAGTTGTTTTTTGTACCAAAGCGAAAAATGAAAATGTGAAAGTGTTACACTTTCATACACTTCGGATGTTTTTGTATTCAGAATCTACGTGAAAGTGTAATTCGACATCATCTCATGTCAAATTTAGTGCTTGTTTAACATTCCCCGTAAGATGTCAGTCAATTTGGACGTGGAAATGTGATGATCGCTCTTTATTTTTTTAACAAATCACTACAAGTAGAATATAACTTCAAATAAATGCATAAATGAATAGAGCTACACTATCTTTATATATAGTTTTAACAATAATTCGTTTTGCAAATAAACATTATATTTCACTTACATGCTGGCGTGAATGCATTTTCAGGCTTGTGAAAAAAGTGACTATCAAGTTCCAATCGCTCTCCTTTCGTCAAAGACCTTCTATGATTGAGAATTCTAGAGTGTTCTTGGATTAGTTAGAGGATTGATTAAGTAATTTGCGACCAGAGATAAAGATAGAGCATGAATCTAATTAGAGGAAAGTAAGAATGAAGGAACTGAAGTAGAGTTAATGGGATGGGGTTTTATATATAGTAGAACTCATGTGACATTTGTTGAGGGTGCTAGTGCCTTCTCAAAGTAAAGAATCGAGTCAATGAAAATTTTCCGGCTTTCATGGAAGGTACATGGTCTTAGCAAAGAAGCAAAGAAGTCCCTTATTAGAATCTCGCCCAGCTTGAAAGTTCGTTTCATCGAATATATCAAGGGAAATCATAGGTTTAGGCATTAATTAAACAAGATGCCCATGTAATTAGTGATTCTTAACGTGTCCCTATATTTATGCAAAATAATTATTATTATTTTTTAAAAAAAGTTTACTTAGACAAAATGATTCGAAGGTAACTTGTTAGTTTTTAGACAAAGAGCATAATATCTTGAATTATTAAAAGTGAATGAGCCGCAATGGAAATATTTAATTTACTAGCTAAGTAAATTGATCTTTTCAAAACATTTTTCTACTTAGCACAAAATTAAACTCTCAACACATCTTGCAAATACGGATTGAGTAGAGAAAGTTGACAAAGGTAAGCATAGATCTAGAAGCTAGGGTGCTGCTTCTGTTTCTTGACCTACTTTTCTGATCTAAATAATTGACTCTTTATAAAATATGCATATAACTATGAACATGGTCAATGGTAGATAGTAAAAAAAACCTTTCTTAGAGAGATAGACTGTAAATATCTATTTATCTAAAAATTTAATATACTATTATATTGAAATAGGCTATATGTTTACTAAGTGGTTATATAAGTAAAAGAACTTTTAAGTGTAAATATCTCAAAACTATGGGGACAAATTGTCATACTAAAAAGGCTATAAAATTGTAAAATTTTTCATTTTGTATGGGTGCACTTAACCCGCTAAGTTTGTAATTATAGATTCGCCCATCAATGCTGTAAGTTTCTTTACAGGCTAATAACTTAGCATGTCTAATGGTCTACTTTAAATATCTATCTATTTATACACCTTACTTTTTCAGGCTATAAAATTGTAAAATTTTTCATTTTGTATGGGTGCACTTAACCCGCTAAGTTTGTAATTATAGATTCGCCCATCAATGCTGTAAGTTTCTTTACAGGCTAATAACTTAGCATGTCTAATGGTCTACTTTAAATATCTATCTATTTATACACCTTACTTTTTCA